TTGTTAATTATTTGTTAAAGTAAAGTGACTTAAATTAATTGTTATGTAGCGTGTGATATCTATCGCGATGGAGACAGTGGGGAGATCTCAATTGATTACACCTACTTGAGCAGACCGTCAAACTGTTCGTGGACAATTGGTAAAGGCAGAAGTGATATCGACCTCATAGTCATCAAATTCAAACCATTTGGTCTGGGATATTATTGCAAGTAAGTACTTTGCACTAAAAAAATGGCGCACTTTAAAGGGTTTTGTAAAATTGATTTTAATATTATGTAAGTGTCTCAAAATGATGTAAATTTGATTTGATGTTCAAGAATTAGGTAAAAAGCGAATACTTTCATCGAGAATGTTGCAAAATTCAGTGTCAAACCCGTTTTGATTTTTCAACTATTTATCGCCATTTTGGCTTCTAACGCATTTGATGTAATTTTCTTTGCTGCAGTAATTTTAGACAACTTTACGTTGAAATCGCTGATGCAAACCACGAATATAAAGTGAGGGAATGTGGTGGATGGCGATCATTTGAAGTTGTGATCAAAAATCGCTCAGCAGTAGTCAGATATTACTCAGAGATATATTACTTATCCTACTGGTACGGGTACTGCCGCTGGTACAGTAACTGGAACTGGCCGTGGTACTGCAGCCAAAGTGTCAAAGTCTCTTTCTATGTTATTTCCCAACATTTGGCAACAGGTCAGTTCTTATCATTATTATTGTCCTTTACGATGTTGTTTTTCTTCTTCTTCTTCTTCTTGTTTCTAATACACAATATTTTAATAACAAAATTATAAAGATTTTGGTTTATAAGATAAGATTTTTTTTTTTTTATTTTAATTAGTGAAATAACAAACAAGTTCACAATACAAATCAACATTTCTTTCTTTCAGAAACTGTTGATAAACTGTTGATGGTTTGTAAGCTTAGCACTAAGCTCATTAAACTACTGAAGTATTAACACACAAATGATGTATATCTATTTATTTTCAAAGATTTGAATGCAGAGAGCTGGAACCCTACTTTAAGACAATCCAGACCTGGTGAAGTTATCATTGATTGGAATCCTTTGTCATTGCCATCAAAGAACTATACTGTTATACCGYTGTATAACTTTACTGTGACAAGAGAACCATTCCTGTACATCGTTGAACATAAAAATGACACATCAATAGCAGTGGAATACCTTAAACCAGCTACTTTATATACATTCAAAGTCATTGCTTTCGATTCTACGAACACGACGAGGCCCTTGATCATAAGCACTGCGTGGTCTGGTGTCATGAGAAATGGTAACATGATAAGCTTTTCTTTGTTTTGTAAGCATTTATTATCTCGAACATTTCTATTTGCTAGATAATTGTTTTTAGATTAATTGGCTGCGGCTGGCGGCTTAGTCGATTGCTTCTGCCAATAAGTCTTCACAATTCAAGCACTAGAGAATGATCTTGTACTCGATTTGCCATATAAGTGGTTGTTGCTTTATTAGACAAATGAATCTATAAAAATGCTTCTCGCTTCTTTAAGATACACTGAGGCTGATTGGTGGACAGCTATCCAACGAGGGAAGAGTGGAAGTGTTCAAAAATGACTCTTGGAATACGATTTGCGCTTATTATTATTCGCGGAATACCGACATTAACAGAGTTGTTTGTCGATCGATGGGTCTCGCCAGTCCTCCTCATATTCTATATTATGGAGCATTCACGCGGACGTCATTCCCGACGCACTTTCTAAAGGATTATTATCGGTGTAGTGGAACAGAAAGCAGTCTCGAAGAATGTTCACGCTCTGATACACAATCGATGTGTCAGCACAACTCCTTTTGCCAAGCTGAAGTTGTATGTGGACATCCACCAGGTAAAAATCATAATCAGGTTTCACTGAAAACATGTTTTATGATTTATAGTTTGAATTGACTTATGTCTATGAGTACACTGACCATTTTCATGTAACTTTTAACATTTTCTTGCACACCATTTGCACCATTTGCTGTAATCTGGCTTGAGAACTTGATGCACAAAGCTCGAAATGGATGCCGGTTGACCATAACCCTTTAATTGTCTAGTGATATGTGATCCAATATTTAAATGAGGTGTCAGCACAGTTGTTTTCCATATTCTGAAAAGGTCGATTTGTAAATTTTGAGATGTAAGAGATGGCGGTTTCGAAAAACTCATTTTGTTGTTCACTTAGCACAAATTGCATTGAATTAGCTCGACTGTTTAGACATTACATTGACATGTTCATTTTTCACTAAATTAATGAGGTTAATTAATCTGCGTTTTTTTTATAATAAATTTGCATGTAATATATCATTATCTTTTAGTTTTTCATCAAATTATCACTGAGACGAATGGTGTTATAACAAGCCCCGGTTATCCATCATCCATGAAGCAAGCCGATTACCGCTGGACATTCATGCCAAATTTGACACGTGGACGTGTGGTCGTTTATTTTGATGAGCTCGATTTACGGCGGCAGTGGCCTGAAACTGGGTAAATTATCATAGAACAACTTAGCGAGACATATTATACAATAAACTAACATACCATACCTACCATGTGTAGCACAACGATGGAATACTACTCAAAATCATAACATACAACAACTTTGCTAGTATGTCTTACTTCTTAATATACCAGCTGGGAAGTGTGCTCTCTTAGGTGTAGCCTCAATTAATTGTAATCGCACGAATCATTGCAGTGCCCCGAAACGAGTTGTTTTACCAATCCTTTCAAATAATTGGAGAATGATAATCAGTCTGTTTTGTAATATTAAAAAAAAACTCGTATAAGGATAACAACATACTGTTAGAGTTATACTGAAATTAGTGAATGCGATTACCTTACAGTAGTTGCATTGATTTTCTATATTTTAATCTTTATTATATTTTTTCCAATTTATATGTAAGATCTTTGATTTGACATTTTTGAACTATACTGTACGCAATTTAGCAATTTTTGCTACCATGTACATAAATAAAGCTTCTATTCATTAGTTATTAACTATTTTGAATTATATACAATAAAAATAAGGGCTTATTTTTATTATATATAATTTATACAGCATATTATGTGACATATTAAATTATCTTTGCTACTTATCGAGATTGATTCTAGTATTTGTTTTGTTGTTTTTGTTTTTTCTTTGTTTGTGATTACGTGTCTGTGAATAGCGAACATCTACGTACAGGTGTTGCACTAAGTATAATACAACTAACTAGAGAATATGTCTAAACTTTATACTTTATGACGATGCACTCCGTTGTAGTGAGTAAATATAGATAGAATGCCTTGATTCGAAAGCATTTTCGCCTTGATTACTTAGCGAATTAATTTGAAGTATAGTACACTCTATAGCCCTATTTTGTTATTATATTCTCTCTATCATGGTTTTAGTGTTCATAATCGATTTTGCTCTATACTAATGTTACGTCTTCGCTTCTTCAGTTTCAGCAGTGTTAACATCCAGGAATCAGGCAAAGAATACCGCAACAGCTTGTATCATGGAGTTGCGACAGTGCTCAGTTTACAAGGCCAACTTCAGTTCTTTTCGTCTTCTTCGACTCGTCAAATTATCAACAGACAACATGGCAAGGGAATACGAGCTCGTTATTTTTCCTACAGTGAACCAGGTAAAAAGAAGTATCAGTTATTTTCACAAAAATGCATTCAAAAATTAATAAACAAGAACGCACGCTAAGCGGCATTTTTTTGTTTTTGTTTTTTTTCGTTTGTTTGTTTGCTTAAAACAAAAACAAAAGAAAAGGAGACATTGGAACTCTACTGATGTTCTATAGGAAAGGGTACATCTACCACAAAAGAGTTTTTATACGAAATTTGAAATAAGGATTGTCAAGTGTCAAGTGTCGCGGGAGGGGTGGTCAATTTCTGCATCAACACAACGTGTTATCACAGTTGCTTACCGCATAGGCGGTCAATTTTATCAAACAATTGTGTAAAAAGATAAATTTAGCACTGTAAAAAAGTAGGTGAAATAACTTGCTGACGTTTCGGATGTTCATTCTTCGTCGAATCCTTCGTCTTTACTCCGACGAATGATTAACGTCCGAAACGTCAGTAAGTTATTTCACCTACTTTTTGAAGGTATTAAATTCATATTTTTTCCCAACTGTTTCTTTGAAAACACTGTCGCAGCTCACACTAGTTTACCGTTAGTTGCCACCACTTTCATATTGAAATCAAGAATAGATTGAGAGGGAGAGGGGAGAGGAATACTGAGATGGAAAGAGAGAAAGAAATGAGAGGGAAGGGAAACTGAGATTTACCTTTATTTGTTTACAGTGTCTACAATAAAGAATTGGACATTATCAATATGGAGCTACAGCTATGGTAGCTTAACTGTGAGTTGGAATCGGGTTACTTTTCAAGACTACGATATCTTTGGAATTTTGGCATCTGCGCAATACTGGGCCAACAAAACTCATTACAAATTTGGACAAAGCCATTTGACATCCGTAACTTTTAATGGACTGTTTGGGTACACTATCTATGACGTGCACGTCTTGGCCCTGTTAAGAAAGGAAAATAACGGCACTTGTACGGCATACCAGAGTTCAAAGGCCACTATAACAACACGTAAGCTTTAGTTTAGTGTCTAATACAGATAACTAGAGTCTAGAATAAACGCCAGGTCAGCATTTATGTCAAGGAAGTACCATGGAACTTTGTATATTTTCTACTTTTATCGGTTCGATTATTTTGTATTAATAATACATCTGTTAACTCTGTTGTCGTGATATTAATAAGCATTTGAGTTTTAGGTAAAGGGAGCTTTAAATTAAAAGACGAGCTCGAGGGCTTCCATTTTGAAGCAAGGTTTTCTCGACTGCCACTTTGTTTTTGTTTGAAATGCTCTTATTCTTATTCTTCTTTTTCTTGATTTTCATTCTGCTATCTCTTCTTCCCCTTCTTACTTACTTGCCTAACCTTCTTTTTGTTTGTTCTCCACAATCTCAATTCCACAAACTCTTCTTTTTCCTCTTGTCGTGATACTTTTTCATCTGTTTACATCTGTCTTCATTTTGTCTCATCCTATTTCATCACATTTTTTTTGTTTATTTCTTAGCTCCAAGTAGTAGCCCTCAAGGAGTTTATTCCACTGATATAACATCGAGTACAGCAGTTATTGGGTGGCAGGAAATCCCCAGAAAAGATGCTCGTGGTGAACGTCTTGTATACAGTGTTCAGCTCTACAATTATAACACTTACAGATATGGAAAAGAAATAAAAACCAACGATACATTAGTAATCTTAACAGATCTTTCACCTGCGACCGATTATCAAGTGAGGATTCGAGGCTACACTGTAGTTGGAACAGGACCATATGCATACCATCATTTTTTGACAAGTAAGGGCTGGTCGAAAGATGAACTTAATTTTTACTTTAAAATTTTAACTTAAAAAAAACTTTAATTTGATTAAAAACTTTAATTTTTTACCAAATTCTAGTGTGCATTTTCAAACTGCGAAAGTCCCCTTCTCTAGCTTATTTTTTTTGTACCTTGTACCTTGCTTGATAAATTAAAAAAAAATTATTTTGGAAATTTCGTATAGAACATAGATAAATATAAAACACATTCTTATTCAAGTATTATCATTTCAGCAAAGTTTGGTGGGTTTTTTTTGGTGACTTTTGGGTCGTTGTTATTCAAATTGTCCGGCATTTTCTTACCCTGTGTTGAGTTAAGCAGGTCTAGCAACTTTTTGTCTTCTCTCAATTTTTGATCACGAATACCCGTTTATTTATTTTTTTTTTTTCAATAGTCATTATTTAAGTAGGTGATGCCTTAATGTTTGAATCGGTTTGTTCAAAATTACAGTATGTGGTGGTACTATAAAGAACCAATTACATGGGAGGATACACCTTCAGGATGTTTATAGATGGTATATAACCTGTACGTGGAAACTGGTTGCACCAGCTACGAACACACTGATCTTATTCGTTTTGGAATCACTTTATTTACCATTATCCTTCGGTTGCAAGTAAGTAACCATTCTGCACTATCATGCATGTCCAAAAGAGTTAATGATCTATTTTATGAAATTATAATTAGTATAATTATCATATATTTTTATGATTAAAGTGTCTTTGGATGCCAAGTCATACGATAAAGCAGTATGGGTATTTTTTACATGAGAGTGATCTACAAAGTAGATTCTCAAAAAATGATACTTATTTGATTTTTTTAAAGTGATTTCTACTTGACCATTAAAGACGGCCAAGGAAACTCATTACAAGGCAGAATATGTGGCTCAAGACAATCTTTGTCTTTCATGTCCCTTGGTTTTACTGAAATAAACGTTTATTTGAGAAGACCAGGAAGGTCGCCATACATGTACTCATCTTTCTTCATGCTTGAAAATGGACTTGAAAATGGTAAGGGTTTCACTTTTCAGTGTTTTTAAATGTTTTTCGCATTATTCAACATCTGCATCTTATGACTTGTACAATGGATTAGAGTTAGTAACGCTTTCTGGATATTCTTAGCATTGGAAGACATTTAACGGCAACATTGATCGAGGCAGCTTAACAAGATGAGATTTGAGAAACACTGCCACTTTTACCATGACCATGATGAACTTAAAGTCTCTGCATTGTGATCATGAACACCTTGATGCACTTCCTCAAAAAAATCATTATGTCATATTAAGAGAAACGGCCAAGTATATAAATAGAGATTGGGATTGGTCAAAGTGTATATATGGCTATACGTCGGTTACGCACTTTGCAAATGCCATTATAGTATGAATTATAGCGAGCTCATAAACATTTCATTGCATTTTAATAGTTCCGTACATCGAAACCTGGAACATTTCGTCTTCCACGAACAGTTCAACATCAATCAACGTCAGCTGGGATAAATATCCAGGAAATGAAAGCGTCAGYAAATATGTTGTGATTTGCACTGCCAATAATCACCACAGAAATGTTTCAGCAACTTCAACCGATGTACAAAGTCTTAATGCAGTTGTCCAGAACATGTTGAAAAACACTGAATACAGAGTAGTGGTAGTGGCAATGCTTGTGAATTCCCCGTTGGTTAACCTCACAGGCGTTAATGGTACGATATCCAAAAGTCAAGAAGTTGTTTTAAAGACTGCAGAAGATGGTAAGATACATTAATCTCTTCATTGGGCACCAAGCTCCCCTATTGACGTCAATTTAAAAATGAACTGTCATTATTTACTCTTAGCAAGCCTAAAGTGTTTTTCCTTTTAAAAGTTCCGTATATCAGTATAAAGAATAAAGAGACTTTATCCAAATCTTCCTCGTTGTTTATGAGCGGAATTGACAGATTGAACGATATTTCGAAGAGCTAGAAATAATCATAATTAAATTAGATTGATGAAAATGTCTTTGTATGAATAGTGATATATATATTTGCCTTTTGTTTTTCAAGTACTTTCACTCTAATATACAACTACTTGCAGAAACGTTGTCATAGAAAATAGGACATTTGTATTTAGCAAAAAAGGAATAAATTTAAAAAGACAAAAGAAGATCACTGAGGCTGAACGCTTTCTTTTGTCTTGTTTTAATTTATTCCTTTTTACTAAATTCAGATGTTCTATTTTTTGACAACGCAGTTTCTGCAGGTAGGCGTATACCCATAAGTGAAAAAGCACACACTGGATTGAGTATGTTAATACCTTCATGACCTTAGTTTATTTGACTCTTCATAGTGCCAAGCAGGCCGCCTCAAAACATTATTGCTAGAAACGCTGGATCAAAAACACTAGTTGTCAGTTGGAATCCTGTTGACAATGAGTTCACTAATGGTGTAGTTGTTGGGTACTATGTTTATTATCAAGTGGCATGGACAGATTTGAATTCATGGAAGAAAAAATACATCAAGGATAATAAAACAAAGGCATATCTAAATAATCTGAAAGATGTCACACTGTACAGAATCGAGGTGTCGGCCGCTACAAAAATTGGTGAAGGTCCGAGAAGTAGGGGAATATTCATCAAAACAGGCAAGGGGTCGTTGCAATGTCCATTATTATATCAAGCTACGCATTTACATTCAGACTGCCATACGAGGCTCTATTTGAGGTTCCCATTTCCTTGAAACGGAAAAGCAGAAGAAAACTGTATGCTCATCAAAAATTAAACTGAATTATAAATCGGAGATGTTAATTAAATACTATTTGTTGAAAAAAAGTTCTTAACGTTTTTATTCTAGATATAAGTTTTATTATAAACAGAATATTTGGCACTCTCACTAGTGAGAGATCTTTTCGACACTTGAAGATACCGCAATTGGTATCCACGCTCGCACATATGATTTCCCCTGCACATGGAATAAAACTAGTTACTCCTTTTTGAATCTTTGATGATTTCCAATCTCTTTTTAGGGTGCCAGATTGCTCTAAGTGACAGATGTGGGATATTTGCCTCACCTAACTATCCAAGCAACTATCCATCAAATGCCAACTGTACTTGGATAATTTCTCCTCGGAGCTCAACTACTGAAATGGTGGTTATGTTYGAACACTTTGATATCGAAGAAGGGCATAGCGGAGTTTGCAGGTATGATTCATTAAATAAAACTTTTGCTCAACTACATATAGACCTGTAACACAATTTGATGTTACCATTTTGGGATGAGAATACTACCCTAAATAGACGTGATATGTGGTATATGGAGGCCRATTTGCAGTCTGAACAGTCCCTGAAAGGTAGTACCAGTTTCTATAATTCCTCGATTTCTAGTCGCTTTTATGAGAATCAATCCTACTGAGCATGACAGAATTATTGATTAATAATTGATCAATTAATAATCTATAATATTCATATTAATACTTTTATAATATTTTTATTCAATCAATATTTTTATTTTTTGCTGTTTGTTTTTTCTTCTGATTGCTGTCTGCTCACTGACTAAATTAATATTTTTTTAGCAACGATTTTGTTAAAGTGTTTGACGTTCCTGGCAAAATGTCATCAAGTGCTGTTTGTGGTCTAAAACGTCCCTTCGCAGTTGTTTCAGCTCCAAGAACGATTATCATCTTGCTTAAATCAGATGGAGGCATGGAAAGAAGCGGATTTCAAGCTGCTTACTTTCTACTAAGAGATAAAGATAAAGGTAACTTTTCTTTTTCTTCTCGCTTCTTCTTCATATTWTTTCTTCTTCATCATCCTCTTSTTCTTSTTCTTSTTCTTSTTCTTYTTSTTCTTCTTKTTCTTCTTKTTCTTCTTSTTCTTCTTCTTCTTCTTCTTCTTCTWYTTCTTCTTCTTCTTCTTCTTCKTCTTCTTCTTCTTCTTTTCTTCATCATCTTTCTCTTTTCTTCATCATCTTCTTCTTCTTCATTTTACCTCTTCCAATTATACATTATTGCTATTTCTATCGTTATCGGTGTTGCTAGTGTTGTTGGTGCTATGCTTTTGTTGCTGTTGTTGTGATGTATATCTAAACACCGTCACACATCTATTATAAACGATGGGCAATATGTATTCCACAGTCATCCAACTAAAACAGAACAGCAAAAATTCCACAGCAGCCTCASTGTCCTGGAGTTCACYTTCGTCCAGTTCAATCGATAGGTTTTATGTTTTATACAAACAAGATGAAGTAARCGAAAACTGGAAAGTCGTTAAAACAGAAGCGTTAGCTGTAASCATTAGTGGCCTTCTCCCTTCTACACCATATATTGCCAAAGTCATTGGCAATAGCAGTGAAGCAGCTTATTGGAGTAATCCAGTGGAGTTTATAACAGCCTATTGTAAGTTTGACATTGCCACGAGTAAGCTAATCATGAAAATATTTCTCTTTATGACCTTCTGTTAAAGATGTTTTTAACAGTACTTGAACTTTTTTGCCTTTGCTACCCATCACAGAGCCAGGGTGTCTTGCCCAGAGTTTCTTTGCAACACTTGAAGTGATATTCAAGATATGAGCGGGAGGTCTTTATGGGCGTATAATAGTGCGAGCTGCAAGCGAACAGTTATAGTGTCCATAAAAGTCGGACGACAATATTTTGTATTGCTTATCAAATTATAAAACAACCTAAACCAAATTTCTCAAAAAAGTCAAGATAAAATAATTTTTATTTTTAAGAGAAAATCGAAGGTAAAGTTATATGCAAATCACGATAAATCTCTTGCTCATATAGAGATGCGGTCACGGCAATGATTTCCCATTGCGTTTATCGTACGAATTCTTAATGAATTTTATAATGGCTTGATAACAATTTGATCAAAACATAAAYCCGATTATGAATTATTACTAAAGTAAAGTAGCCTAGATTGGATAAAATAAAACTTTTTTCAGGAAAATATCATTTTATTGTTTTACAATCACCATCATCGTTATTATTATTATTTGTTTACATCTCAATCAAATAGTACCAACGACTCCACATCCTGAAACAGAACCAACGACAGAACCCACAGGTAACAAATACTTTGTTTTTCTTTTTAAGAAGTAACAACAAAACAAAAAATAAAAAAAATTCATCCCTGAAAAATCGCAGATACAGCTAAAAAATCAAACTAAGAAATGTGTATTTTTTACAGAATCTGTGAAGCTGATGTATAGCTATGGTACCAGTGAAGGTGACTTTACAATCCCCAACACTTGGGAATATCGGCATCGTTGTTTCAAGATTACATTTAATGACGATGGGTTTCTCTTCATGACCAAGAGGCACTATCAAATATATGTAAGTCTAACTACATTACAGCGAAAACCGTTGCATCGCGAACTCATTCTTTTGAAGTTTGTCTGGATTTTGTTCTTTCCTTCGATCTAAGGGGCGCAGCTTTTCTAAAACTCGATCAGTCATTGGCTGATTTGTATCAAGCTCCGCCCCCAAATGAACATTGAAGACGCGATGCAACGGTTTCTGCTGTAACTTATGGTATTCTGATTTCGAAAGCTTACCCTTATATACATTGTATACGAAAATTTTTCTTAATAATCGAAACATCCTCATCGTCTCCTTTTTTCTGACTATTCTTTCTGCTGATATAGAAATGAAAGAAAGTAATAGTGCTTAGAAGGAGGCAATTCCCTCATATTCATATATTTATATTTTTTCTGCTGACTCCTTTTTTTTAATCCAAGAGCCAAGCAACCAACAAAAAACTTTTCGTATATTTATTAACTTCATCTTCTCATCCTTATTAGGTATGTCGTAATGGTGTCATGCGTTTTGGTAGTTCTTCGTATCTTCACTGGCCAAACAACTTTGGTACAAGCTCCAAATATTGCGATATCGATATTCTGGCACCATACTGGTCGTTGGCTGACAGACAACATTCCCAAGTTTTYTATCATGTGTATTCATCGTTAGACAATAACATAAAGACCAATAAGGTCATTGATCAGGCATCCAACGATGTACGTTTGCTAAAGCAGAACTCATTACCATCCACCTTCAAAGCTTCGTGGGTTCTAGTTGTAACATGGRATAAACTTCGTCACTCTACAATCAATGMTCATACAAAAAACTTGGTAAGCTAAAAAAAACATCGCATTTCTAATAAATAAACTATAATCTGAAATATACCA